AGTGAGCACACACAACAGACAATGTGCAGGTACTTACACCATGACCATACTTTTGGCATTTGAAACATCTCAGTGGATTCGGAATATACGTTTCCACTTTGATGTGACAGTAACCAGCCTTGATTGACTTTGGAGCAGTTGGAGTAGAAAATGAAAACAAGTAAGTGTTGGTTTGTTGGATCTGGTTGTATTTTCGGGTAGTGAAACGTTTGACGAATAACACACCTTGGTCCTTCATCTCAGAGGCAATATCAATTTCCATCATATCAGCAAAAAGTCTATCACGGTCTCTCACAATGCCCTTGCTGGTGTTAAGTGTTCGGTGGGCAGAGACTGAAACTGGAATTCCGACAAATGATTTAGTTGAAAGGAGGTTGTTTGCCTGGTGCCTCTTAGTGCATTCAACAAGTAAAGAGCCAGTACGTAAACGTTTAACATTTCTCACATCTCCTGCAATGCCTTGTATGCCTTTAGATACGGCAAAAGGGTTCAGCTTTAATGGAGTATTGTCAGTGGTCTCAATCACAATAAATCGTGGCCAGTAATCAATAGAGGTGGACAGTCTTTGGTTGTTAACATCAGGATCAGTAGTATCAAGAGGACGCTTTGATTGTTTGAGGGGGGGTTCGTAAGCCATGGTAAGGTTATATTGTTTCGTCATCCGAGCTCCCCACCCACCACGGAGTATCACAAGGACAATGCTAAAAGCAGGCGGGTCTCCAGCCTGCAGCACCAAGGATACCCGGATGATATACGCACGCAGAATAATACAAAAGTAATTATTCCACCTGATTGGCCCATGAGCCACCGCCTTCTGGGCATACGACTCTAGGCAAAAACATGAAAGTATATTTGAAATTCTAATTCCTCAAAAATCGCCAAGACTTTAAAAAAGAGTAAGTTACAATTTTCAAAATTTTGTGCAACATTCCATAATGTAATCAATGCACAGGGCTTGGCGTGACCAGCCGATTGGTTGAACCGGGCCCATTCAACCACCCGTCTAGGTGAAGTTAGGGCCGAAGTGGTGTGTTTGGGCAAAGGAACACTGTTCCTGGAACCAGTGCCCTCAACCACCAGAATCCCTTCCTCCACCGACACAGGGGCGCAACCCACGGCAAACAGGTTGGTGGACCTAATATCCCCCCGGGTCCACAACGGGGGGTTGAAAGGCTCTTAGCGTGACCCAGCACCCACCACGAGGAGGTGGCCCTTCACGGGTGCCATAAGGACACATATTAAATGCTAGATGCTTGCTCTGTGATCAAAAGTAATGCTTTTGTCGTTTGGAATATTATTCCTGGGTGTGCATTATGCGATGGACATCTGAAGGGCAAATACAAAGGTAACACTACAAGGGCTAATTATGACATTTATTGTTGTACCAAAATGTATCTGCATTGCAGATTTTCTGTGTATTGAGGTAGTCATATCACCAAGATTGTTACAAGGTGTGATATCACTTTTTCGCATCTGTACCAGGTTTATAGGTTTGACAGCCACATGAGTTGCATGCAGAGTGATGTCACTGGTACCCAACATGAAAACTTTCCATTTTCATAACAAGAACATGTATTCAGTATCACTTACATTTGACAGGTGTGGTCAGTTCTCTTCAATTACTTCCAAATTAAAACACACAATGATTTATTGTTACCTGCACTACATGTTAATTGTGTAGTCAAATCTCAAGAGTCCACATCCAATTTACGCAAAAGTGAGTTTGGTAATCTCTTACAAAGATGGGTATATGTATGTTTTGAGTTATAATCTTGGCTAAAAACTGACTAATTTAACAAATCTAAAATAACTTCTCTGGGAAGTGAATTCGTTGAAAAATGTTTTCTTTAGTCATGGTACATGATTTAGTGCTCGTCTATGACATGACTTTCCTTGAATTTTGTATTCACAATGTTAATGTGTTTTAAGGGTCTTTGCAGGTGATAAGTAAAGTAAGATTTTGAAATGGTGAAATGTATGTTTATTTAATTACTTCAGATCTGGACCATTGCCATAAGGCTAAGTCTGCCATTAAACAGGTTAACAAAACATGAAATCACTTAATTCATTACTGTGACCTCAATATCTTGTAGACAAGATTCTAAATGTTGTTTTCATTATTTAATGTATATGTCAGGGTAGAGACTGCGATGAGATTCTACCAGTAGAGGTGCGATCGTAGTCTCTACTGGTAGAGACTACGATTATATGGAATAACCTATGCAAGCAAGTGCAAGCTTATGCAAGCAAGTATAATAAGTGGGGATAATGTTTTCCTATTATTTGCCAGCTATATTTCAACTTAATTATTGTTATCTTGTTAACTTTATTTGTTAAGTTTGTTTTGGAGTAAGGTATTTTGTTATTGCTTTTTGAGTGGAGTCCAAATTTGGTATCAATAGTAAACTTCAAAATTTTAATGGGCCATTTTATTCTAATGTTGCAAAAGGCCTATGGCTTTCACAATCCCTGGACATGTATATAATGCTTGACTATGCATTGACCGGCCCAACCAACTTGTGAAGATTTGTATTACACGTGATGATTGGCAACTGATGCCATACTAACATGCTGAATCAAGCTGCTGTCAAGATGCAAACAAGACTTTTTATAATGTCAAATTTTAAATGGTTTTATTTTTGTTTAGTAGTGTTCAGTTTGTCTTATGCTAAATTTGTTACTGAAGCAATGTTAAAATTATATTTATGTCAAAATGTCCTTTATGATGTGAATCAATCACTTGCAATAAACACTCAAAATCAAGTAAGATTCTTGTCAGGTAGGTTGTGTTTTTCAATGTTACAGTATTTCTTTTACAAATCATAGTTTTGTTATGCTGAGTGTGGCCATGATGATGAACCAGTTCGAAATTATGTTGTCAGCATTCTTATGCTGGTGGGATTTGACCACAAGGGAATTGTTTGTTTTCAACAAATGGAATAATTCATGGCAAATGGCTATAAAATCAGAGCAAGTACCCATTGCGTCAACCCCACAAAAGAGCCATGTGTGCAGACATTATAAATATCTAGTAGCAGCATTTAAACAAAATGTTGTGTTACAAAGAACATTAGAATTGGTCATTGAAGGAGACACTTGTACTTTCTTCTTGTGTGATGGGGACAAACATCTCATGTTGATTTGATGCTGCAGATGTGTATATAAAAGTTCATAATGTCAAAAATTAACAACATCAAGTTCGTATATACCAAAATAACAAACAAAACTTTTGCACAAGCAAAAGAATATACAGTTTTATTTCAGACAGTTACAAACATTTGTTTGATGTTCATTATTATTAGTAGCCACTATAGGCAGTAGTTTGATCCACATGAGATGCCTGGCATGAACGTAATACCACAACTGTCATGCCAATAGCAGCAATTTGTACATAAATGAAGACATGTTGGAGCATTATTCATCACAAATTATTTAACTTTCTGGATAGAAATATAAGTGTGATAACTGCAACAATCTAACATATGGTATATGTTGTACATAGACATTTATTAGGACATACTTAAAGATTTTTTTATCAGATAATCACATTAAGCATATATATATATAGTGTGGTAAGCTTTCATGGTAACAGTGTCATGAAATTAAAACAAATTTAGATGTAATTCACACATGACTAAAATTTCCTTCTTGGTATTTTGATTTGTTAACACGTCTAAATCAACTCTGCAGAATATGCTTCTTTCATCTACGAGCCATTGGCAGAATACGCCATCTCATCAGTCTTTATGCAGCAATTTATATCAAAAATTGATTACTGCAATAGCCTCCTTTTGGTATTTCTCAGATGCTATCAAAGAGTGCAAAATGTCAAAATACAGCCTCCCGAATCATAAGCAGAACTTCAAAGCGCTCACACATAGCACACCTGTCATCGAAAACCTCCACTGGCTGCCTGTTAAATCAAAATTGACTTTAAAATATTGTGTTTTGTCTACAAATGCCTCAATGGCATAGGCCCAGAATACTTGAAAGAACTTCTTACCCCGTACACTCCAGAAAGACAGCTCCGTTCTCAGAATCTGAACCTACTCTCTGTGCCTCAGTTCCAAACTGCAAACTTTTGGAAGGAAATCCTTTGTCTGCTCTGCCCCTCTACTCTGGAACTCTCTCCCTATCACCATTAAATCAGCAGTTGACTTTTATTCCTTCAAACGACTTCTCAAGACTCATCTGTTTTCACTGCGTTATGACTAGCAACTAGTCCCTTATTGTATATATGCATATTATCCACTCACTTTGTTAGCGCTTTGAGCATGGGCCTTGTGCATGGAAAAGGCGCATTATAAGTTCATTTATTATTATTATTATTATTTGTCACTAGTTAGTTTGTTTCTTATGCATTTACTGCTGGGCATGTAACCCCATTGGCTGTATTACGGAAACCTCATCAAGCGATGAACGTCATCAAACGAATGTCTAAAATTGGAAAAATTAACAGATTCTTTTATAATACATTTTAAATTAAGCACTGAAATATCAAATTCAAGGTCATAACCAACAAGATAGCCATAAAATAACATAAGTATACTATACACTGGCCCTGTTCAATCTGACCATTCAAAGAGTTCATCACACATAACAACTTTGAGATTACTTGATGTATCATTTAACCACAATTAATTAAAATCAATTTTAAATCTACAATAAGTATTGTTTTGAAGGTTCATGCAAGGGATATATCCTTCAACATTCATTAACCTAGGGTTTGATGTACCAATAATATTTTTTCAATTTCTTTCACATGCAATTCCTATTTTCAAAACATGAATATTTAGTAGAAATTACACAGTAAGTCAGTTCTCAGTAAAACACTAATATGAATACATTTACGCTTTAATGTGTAACTACCTACCAGCTGCAACTAGCAGTATCGTGTCTGTAAAGCAATTGTGTCACTACTCATTGAACTAAATTCATACATCACCTACATATACGGGGTTACGTCCCTTGAACGGCGCAGAGTGAACAAGAATTTTTAAAATATATATTTGACTTGCTGACAGATATAAATATCAACGTTATAAATGTTCGAACTTGCGTTATATTCCGGTTCGATCCGAAACACAATTGACGACACTGACGTAGCGCGAACATTTAGGAAAACAGGTTATCTGACAATTGTAGCAAATCATGGAGGCCCATGTGACGGACAAGTTTTCACCCACTTTTCTTAAAAGAGACAAATAGTTGCAATTTAGCGCCCCGTGACCATCAGAACTACACAGAATGTACACAACGATGTATTGTTCTAATAATACAAACACTTACACGAACCGATCTCTGGTAGTTCCTTTCTTATGTCCGTTTACAACTCACTAAAAACAAACAACTTTCGTCACGGTTGCAATGGCGGTCGAAAAGGCGAGCTGCGCGCGCCACCTACCTACGGACATGACCCAAACAGAGTTAACTCCCCTTACACGTGATTCGACCAATTGTTCTATTTATTGATTTGCTGACATATACAAGAGTCAAATCTGATTCAAAATAAGCGTTAAGGCCCTAACATTTAATTCCGATACGTAACACAATTAGACACAGAAGAAGCGCAAACATTTAAGAAAAACAGGTTATCTGACGATCGCAGCAAATCATGGAAATACGTGCCCACGTGACGGACACAATATTCATCCACTTTTAAAAACCCCCAATACTTGCCAAATACCGCCGTGTGACCATTAGAACTTCTTGGAATGTACACAGCAATGCATTGTTCTAAAAATGCAAACATGTAAATGAACAGATCTATCGAACTTCCTTTAAAAATGTCCGTTTACATCTTGCTCAAAAAGAAACTTTCCTCACCTGTTGCAATGGCGGTCGAAGAGGCGGGAACTGCGTGCGCCACCTATCTGTGAACACGATCCCAAACAGAGTTACCTCCCTTACACGCCCGCCGAGTTCCTAAACAAAATGACAGCGAATGAATTTAAAAAACAACGTATTCTAAATGACTTGTTCATTTGCCGCATTTGACTGGATTATTTGCCCTCACCGCACTTCATGACGATAGCTTTATGCATTTTAGCTGTTTAATATGCATATCAGATATCATATATAGATTATCATATGGTCTGGTATAATTTATAAGAAAAAATAGATGTATAACATTTGGAAAAAGCATACATCGGCTACAGTGGTATTTTCATTTATTATTTGTCAATTCATTAACTGTGTTGTTTTTCATGAGAATTAAAATTGTAACATTGTGTGATAACAACAAGAGTTAAAAGACGCATTGGGAAATGCAGTCCCATCGTTTTGCATTGGTAGGGGAGGTAACTATATCACCATGACACGAGGTGGCGTGGGCATTTCCGCCTCTGGGATCGCCATTTTTACTGGTAAGGACACTAAAATAGAAACTGATAATATATATATTTGAAGGTTTAACCGCTTTCTTGGTACAAATAAATACACATCATTGGTTTTGATCTACATATCTGAAAACTGCTACCAGAACTATAGGAAATTAGCTGTAAGTTTTTTGTCCAGAGCGGCGACAATGCAGTTCACAGCCCTAAGCGCACTGTCGTGGAAATTAGGTCAGTCAGTCGTGGGTTAGGTACTTTTTCAACCATCATTTCTCCACAATTTTTAGTTACCTGTTTTAATGAATTAATCAAACGCAGTTTAAAGACAATTTGTGTATCATATTTTGTGTTTCTGCGCATAATTACTGCGTGTACGCGTTATTTAATTGGAAAACAAGCGGTTATTACATGCGAACGCATCTGTGGTATTGGAAAAAGTAATTAATTCATTAGTCAGATTAATTTCATACTGCTGGCGTGACATCGAATGTCAAGACGGCAAATTTATCCCTTGTAACTGAATGTTTGACTGCAGGGGAATATGCGCAAATCTGTGGTGGTTACGGACGGAAGTCTTTCCATATTGTCCTCTTGCCCGTTAAATTTTCAATGTTGAATTGTGCCATGTTTGTTCCATAAGTTTGTTTAGTGTGTTATAATTGTTGTTTTTTTTGTCAAATATATAATGATAAATATGTTCTATAGTATTCAGGGGCGGTTACAAGTGGTTGCAGGCTCTGTCACGCCGAAGGCCAGGTTCGATTTCCCACATCAAATGTGTTAAGCCCATATAATGATAAATATGTTCTCGATCAGTCAGTCTCATTCATGCAAAATGAAATAAGTTTGGATTTACCAATATATGTGAACTGAAGATTGTCAAAATTAGTTATTTAGGTGTATGAGATTTTTACTCACAAATATATGTTTCAGTCAGTATGTTTTGATAAAAATATTAATGTTAAATGACCATCAATGTTTGAAAGAGACTTTTCAAGAGATGTTTTCTCTTCATAGTTTTTCTCCTGTTATTACAATCAATGATTAGCCAAATCATAGACCAATATAAAATATTTATATAGCAAACATCCAAGCACTAGTGCATGCTCAAGGTGCTGGTATTTGTTCTCTCAATCATTGGATGTCAATCTCAACAGCACAATATATTATCAATCTCAGCTCCCTGCTGCAACAAGCCGCAGTGAGTTATTGCAGCTTTACCATCATTACGAGGTGCACATTTGCAGCTGGGTGAAAATGTGTTGATTGATTATAACTTTAGCCCTTACATACCCATTAGCACAGTAAATGTTTTGATGTGCAATGTTATCCACAAAGTACTCCAGTCAATATTTTCAGTTATGATTGAATGTTTAATACATGTTAATAAGGACAGACGTTCAAAGTTTATATCCACCTAACCGAAATCCACCATGGCAAATGGTGAAACCACAGGTCGATCTTACCCTCACCAAACTCAAGAAGTCTGAAACAAATCCCTTGGTGTTCCAACAGGAATACAACCAGTTACGTTCGAAGTATAACACTCACAGATCCATTTTCACAGACGGATCCAAGGACGATGGCCAAGTTGCCAGCGCTACAGTCATTGGAGCCAAGACTGTCTCCTCTAGGATCCCCGACAACAGTTCCATTTTCACTGCTGAAGCCAAAGCTATCTTCTCAGCTTTGACCTACATTCAACAGCAAAAAAGATCAGCCCAAATCATCCCTCTGCTGGTTGCCGGGTCACGTCGGCATAGGAGGTAACACTAAGGCCGATGCTGCAGCAAAGCAGCTCTTCAAAAGCCCCTATCTCCACTGCTAATCCCGTACAGTGACTTCAAACCCACTATCAAAAGCTATACTCGGGACCTGATACAAAAAAGGTGGGACACTCAAGTAGGAAGAAACAAACTCCATGAATTGAAGCCAACAATCGGTTATACCTACTTGGGTTGTCAGTCAAGACGCGATGAGGTAATTCTACGACGATGTCGTATTGGCCACAGTCGATTTTACACATGACTATCTGCTGAAAACGGATGGGGATGGACCCCCATGTGTGTCTCTTTGCGATGAGGTGATCACCGTCAAGCATATTCTGCTTGAATGCGTGGACTTATCGCCTGCAAGGGACTCACATTATGATGCAACAAACCTAAAAGATCTGTTCTCACGCGTGAGCGCCCATCTCATACTGAACTACCTGAGGGAAGTTGATCTGTATCATAAATTGTAACTGTGAAATGTAACAAAACCGCCTGCCTTTAAATTTGATGCTATGACTTTTTCTGCTTTTGAATGACAATGTAATCAATACATGTCTTTGAAATAAAACTCATTCCGAGTATGTACTTACAATGTTTACTAATGCAAACTTGTTCTCGTCACTATATGGCTGGAATAATGCCGATGTGACGTAAAGCCCAACTCAACGACAACCTCAACTCTTCTGCATGTTGCCTAATGGCATCCCCGTTCTGGATTAGACTGCCAATCATCTGAAAACAGTGACACTTTTAACCTTTCTGTGCACAAGAAGTTTCAAGTCTAGCCATATCTTTCTATGACATCAGTCTACATAATTGAATCTTTCAGGATCATGTGAGAAATGATAGTATAAACACACAAATACTGATTAGCTGAACATACTAACCTACATAAATCTGAGGTTGAACATACATTACAGAAAACAAATAGACCCTAACATATCGTGAACACCTGATAAATGTTAAAAGCACATCTGACTTTGCCTTTGTTACCTTATATAATATTTTTTGCAATCATGCCAAGTACTGAATATAACTTTTATTTTATTTTACACCACTTAATGATAATGGTAAATAGATACCAGCTATTGTATATTATTTCCTGTTGGTGTTTTATAAAGCATGAATACAAGTCATTCAATATTGGAAAATTAGGGTATGTCAAATGATCAAAGTATACTGTTTTCTCAATATGACCCTGAAAAAAATATTCTACCACCAGGAGCTTAAATTTATGAATGTATGATTTTTGTAAATTAATGATGTAAATTGATAAGATCCATCTGTTTTATACAAGTTCAATAGTGTCAGGAATGAGTATTTCATCACTGGTTCTTCTTTGAGAAGATATAGGAGTTGAAGTATTTAAAGTAAGGATAAGATATATGGATGAACAACTTTACAATAATTTGAGCAATGTTTTGATGTGGGTGATAATTCAATTAGAACCTACATCAAAATGTCTCCCCTTATTGTATTAAAACAAGTTGTTTATCCATATATCTTATCCTGTTCTTGTCTCTGTTTTAGATATGTTGTGGAAGAAGAACTTGAGGGAGGACGAGGCCATGCAGCGAGGGACTGGGAGCATCCAGCGAGAAGAAGCAGCGAGCGAGAAGAGGGGTAGAAGCAGCGAGGGAGGGAGGGAAGGGAGGGAGGAGGATGTTACAAAGGAAGAGGGAGCGCTGAGAGAGGGGAAGCAGCTGGACAGGAGAGGAGAAGGAACAGCGAGACAGGGAGTTGACAGTGAGGCAGGAGGGATCAGCAGTAGAGAAGGGGTGCACTGAGGGAGGGATCAGCAGTGGAGAAGGGTGCAGTGAGAGAAGCATCAGCAGTGGAGAAGGGTGCAGGGAGGAGGGATCAGCAGTGGGAGAAGGGTGCACCGAGGGAAGCATCAGCAGTGGAGAAGGGTGCACCGAGGGGAGGGATCAGCAGTGAGAAGGGTGCAGTGAGGGAGGGATCAGCAGTGGAGAAGGGTGCAGTGAGGGAGGGATCAGCAGTGGAGAAAGGGTGCAGTGAGGGAGGGATCAGCAGTGGAGAAGGGGTGCACCCAGGGAGGATCAGCAGTGGAGAAGGGTGCAGTGAGGGAGGGATCAGCAGTGGAGAAGGGTGCAGTGGGAGGGAGGGATCAGCAGTGGGAGAAAGGTGCAGTGAGGGAGGGATCAGCAGGGAGAAGGGTGCAGTGGAGGGAAGGATCAGCAGTGGAGAAGAGTGCACCGAGGGAGGGGATCAGCAGTGGAGAAGGGTGCAGTGAGGGAGGGATCTGCAGATCAGCAGTGAGGGAGGCAAGCAGTGGAGAAGGTGCACTGGAGGGAGGGATCAGCAGTGAGAAGGGTGCAGTGAGGGAGGAGGGATGGAGAAGGGTGCAGTCAGGGAGAAGGGTGCACCGAGGGGAAGGATCAGCAGTGAGAGAGGGTGCAGTGAGGGAAGCATCAGCAGTGGAGAAGGGGTGCAGTGAGGGAGGATCAGCAGTGGAGAGGGGAGGGATCAGCAGTGGAGGCACGCCTGAGGGAGTGGATCAGCAGTGGAGAAGGGTGCAGTGAGGAGAGGATCAGCAGGAGAGAGGGTGCACCAGCAGGGAGGGATCAGCAGGGAGAAGGCACCTGAGGGAACCAAGACACAGTGGAGATGGGTGCAGTGACCACATGCATCTGCAGTGGACCAGGTGGACTGAGACATGATCAGCAGTGGAGTGGACCACAAGGCACTGCATCAGCAGTGGACTGGTGCACTGAGGGAGGATCAGCAGTAGACCAGTGGACTGCACTGATCAGCAGGAGAAGGGTGCAGTGAGGAGGATCAGCAGTGGAGGCAGGGACTGAGGGAGAAGCAGTGAGAAGGGTGGAGGGGTGGGAAAGCAGAGGAAGGGAGCAAGAGATAAGACAAGCACCCCACAAATATGCACTGAGGTGGACACGGACAATGGCATACCGGAGGACACAGCCAAAGAAAGGGTGCACAGCACAAAGCAAAGCAGTGGAGAATGGTGAGGATGACAGGGAGGGGAAGCAGTGATGGACGGATAGCAGTACAGAAAATGGAAGCAGTGAGACGATAGTAGGGCACACGGAAATGGACGAAGGACACGGAAAATGGACGAGCATGGGGAAGCTAACCTCCATAACGGAATATAAAAGAATGGATACCGAGGATGTCAGGACAAGTCACAGAAAGGAAAGACACAAACTTTGGACAAGAAAGAACTTCGGCTCTCACTAATGCCAAGGAAATAAGCATAGACCATGCCTGACCCAATGGACACAATGGACTCAATACTAAGGCTTGAAACCTGTAAGCAATATTCCAAACTGCTATGAAAGTAACCATGCATCAACAAGGAAGAAATTAAAAGACCAACATATACTGGTAATAGAAGCCTCAAAGAACTTCCATGGAAATGTCATAATGGACATTTGATCGAAGGTCACCCCAGATTTGGCCATGGTAAACAGGAATGGCAATGTTGTTCAGCACAATGGATATTTCCCTCATGGGAACATACAGACCATCATATCAATTAAGTGATGCATACCTTCTAGTTGATGGAAATTCCTTCAAGTTTAATCTCTACTTTGACCAAGAATATACATTTGAAATTGGTGAGTCTCTGAGTGGCTTTTGTCATAGAAAGACATTATTGAACAAGCAAATCTTCCACAAGTTTTATCTCTAGATGCTGCACTCCAAACAGTATTTTCAAGCCATAAGTCTACTGATGTGACATTTGGAGAAGCAACATTTGCTGTTATTGAAAGAAATGAGAAACTATGTGTTTGATTCACATTCTCGAAAAAGCTACAGGATTGCAAGTGCCCTAGTGGTACGAGCATTCTCATTGAGTACACATCCCTCCTTCAGGTCTATGATTACTGTTTCGAATCTTGCACATTCAAGGAATCTAAAAGCAGACACACAGTTTGAAGTGATTGGCATGACAATCACCTCTGTTTTAAGACATTTGATACTTCCTTTTGCGAATACACAAGTTGAAATAAATGAGAATGTACATGATGATGTGGTCATCTCTGAAATGAGACACTTGGTACTTCCTTTGGCAATAAAGTGAGGCAAATGAGAATGATCATGATCGTGTGGTCATCTCTCGACACTGAGACACTTGATACTTCCTTTGACAATACAAGTGAGGCAAATGAGAAATGATCATGATGAAGTGGTGATATCTTTACATTGAGACACTTGATACTTCTTTGACAATACAAGTGAAGATAAATGAGAAGGATCGTTGATGACAATACAAGTGCATAAAGATCGTGATAAAGATGGACTTGATGACAATTTGCAAGATGATAATGTGGAAATAACTGACACTGACGAAAATGCCAGCCTTTCTAATGAGCTCGTTGATACAGTAAGTGAAGCCAATAAACATGATGAGGATTACAGTGATGAAAATGACGCTAACTCACAAGATGGTAGTGTGGAAATAATTACTAGTGATCAAAGCGCAATGCTCTACTGCCATGTATCCACAAGTGTATGTGAACAGTTGTGCAAAAGCTTGAAATTCAACATCAATATCTATCAAGGGTTTCAGATCATGAGATTGGTGTGGCCATTTGCGAACCATGTAGAACAAAGCCTATTGAGGGAGATGACAATTGTTTCTTTAGGAGTCTCTCATATGCACTCTCTGGGAAAGAAAACAATCACAGGAAAATAAGACTAGCTGTTGTGAAACACCTTAGAAAAAATGCTGAAAGTTTCCATTCACTCTTAAGACCAGGTTATGAATCCATTGAACAATACATCCTGCAATCAAGAATGTGGTATGTTGGAACATGGGCAACAGAACTTGAAATACTTGCAGCTGCAAATCTACTTGGCATCGACATTTGCACATTCACTAACAACAGATGGCTGAGATATTCGAGCAATCAGATAAATTCTGACACACCAAACACTGGAACAGACATATATCTAAATCATGTTGGTGGATCCCATTATGAAGTGGTTGTTTGTGCGAACACAGCTGATGTCTTGAGAAACTCATGCACAGATAAATACTGTGACAAACATTTGAATATCAATGCACATACCACGAGGAAGAGAAAAGCTGACCATCTGCCTGCAGATATGCTGAATATCAGACAATGAGTTTTGAAAAAAACAAAATCTGATACTGAAGGCCCTGAATGTGTGTGCTCTGTTTGTCATCGAAGACTTTTCAAAAACCAGATTATTAAATGCAAAAGAACAGTGTATGAAAGCAAAGGTGGCAATGCAGCAGCTGTATCTGAGAAATGAATCACAGACACTTACGTTCACAAGTGCACTGACAGTTGTGATGATCAGTGTTCACTAATGAATAGTCCAGCAGGCACATTGTGGATTTGCTATACTTGCCATACAAAACTTTCGTCTGGTAAAATGCCTGGAGAAGCTGTAGCTAACAATCTAGAACTGGGCTCGATTCCTCCACAGCTACAATGTCTGAATGAACTTGAGCAGCACTTGATAGCATTGAATATCCCTTTTATGAAAATGATGGCATTACCAAAAGGTGGACAACATGGCGTGCACGGACCTGTAGTGTGTGTTCCTTCTAACATTAAAAAAAACACAAGTATCTTACCAAGAAGTGATGTAGATGATCAGATGATCAGAGTGAAACTAAAGAGAAAGATTACTTACAAAGGACATTACCAGTATCAATTTGTCAACAATTCCCACATAAAAAATGCTGTGGAATATCTACAAAAACACAACAAGTGGTACAGCGATGTCAATTTCAATACACATTGGGTCAATCCATTGCCAGTTATTGAGGAAGAAGATGAAATCAATGATTCAGATTGTGACGCATCATCTAATATTGATAAGGACACACCAAACGCACAAACAACTGAGCATGAAGAGTCTGAGAAAGATCAAGGATTACTCATGAACACCTGTTTACAACCTCTTGATATTGGTCAGGAAGGTCTTGATCAACATTTTGAAAAGATAACCTGTGTTGCACCAGCTGAAGAAAATAGTCCTGTTCAACTATTGTCAGACAAAACAAATGAAGCAAAATCATTTCCAGTACTGTTCCCATCAGGTTCTCCCACATTCCATGATGATCGTGAGGAGAGCATAACACTTGCACGTTATCTTCACACACGCCTCATGAACGCTGACCGTCGATTTGCTCAAAACACTGACTACATTTTTTATGCACAGTATCTGTCTGAAGTTGATCAAGTTCTGTCAAAAAATTCAATTGCATTGCGAAAAGGATCACAGTCACATGGCAAAAATGTTACTTCTGAAAATCTTACAGATTCTGATTCTCTAAGAGAGATATTAAAACATGATGATGGCTATAAGTTCTTGAAACCTATAAGAGAAACTCCTTCATACTGGCAGTCAGCTCAGAAAGATTTGTTTGCTATGCTAAGACAACTTGGTATTCCAACTTGGTTTTGCTCATTCTCATCAGCTGATATGAGATGGCCAGAAATGATTGAAGCAATACTGAGAGAAGAAGGTGATGAACGCAAAGCCAGTGAACTTGACTGGTCTGCAAAATGTTCTGTACTGAGAAAAAACCAAGTCACAGCAGCCCGAATGTTTGATCAAAGATTTCATTGCTTCTTGAAAAAGGTCATCATGTCAGCAGCTGAACCCATTGGAAAAATAAAAGACTACTTTTATCGTGTAGAATTCCAACACCGTGGCTCCCCTCACACACATTGCCTTTTTGGGGTTGAAGATGCACCAAAGATCGATAAAGACAGTGACGAGGCAGTAAAATCATTTATTAACAAGCATGTTACATGTGCTATGCCATCGGCTGAGGATGATGAAGAACTGTTTGATATTGTCAACACTGTACAGAAACATAGCAAAAGACATTCCAAGTCATGCAAAAAAAATGGTACAACGTGCAGATTCAATTTTCCTCGCCCACCAAGCAATGAAACTTTCATATCACGAACTAGGAGGTCAACCAATTGAACCAATGCCTGAAACTGTGGAAGAACTCGACAAGTATCTGAAAATGTGAATATGATGTCAAGACCAGATGCTCAAGCAATCTTGAAACTGATTTGGGAAACACTATTAGATGATGAGCAAACGTTTGATTCAGTTGATGCATTGTTCACTGAAATAGGTATTTCACAAGACTTGTTTCAAAATGCATGTGATACACTAGCGAAAAAGACAAACATTGTCATGAAACGCAAACCTAATGATGTATGGGTCAATCAGTACAATCCAGATCTTCTCAGATGTTGGAATGCAAACATGGACATTCAATATGTAGTTGATGCCTACTCCTGTGTTGTATACATCATTTCATACATCTCAAAGGCAGAAAGAGAAATGGGATTACTTCTGAATCATGCACAAAAGGAAGCAAATAAAGACAATACTGATGCTAAATCTGCTCTGAAGAAACTTGGTGCTGTATATTTACACAATCGAGAAGTGAGTGCACAGGAAGCAGTATTTCGAGTTTGCAATTTGAGACTGAAGGAAGGATCACGTAAAGTCCAGTTCATTCCAACTGTAGACCCTGTCCGAATGAGTTTGCCTC